TATATATATATATATATATATCCGTGTCAGTGTAAATTACTCGTACCTGATAATGATAAAATCTTGTCGAAACGTTGTACATTTGCTGTTATGTTAAACTTATATTAAAGTTTTGCTTCATTACCCATTCAAGCCGTCTACATGTTTACATGTCTACATATTACTACATGTTTAAACAACTCTGTTTATTCAATAAGCTTTACTTTTCTCTTAATTGTGATCCAAGATCTGGATCTTGTTAAAAGGAGAACTTGACGTTGCCTCTAGCGAAACGTTTTTGTCAGATCCAACTAAGATTATATACAGAGATATTGGGCGAAATCTACTGCACCGAGAAGAAAAGTTGATTAAACTAAACTTAATTTAAACTACCCACCTAACAACGCTTCTTAATCTGATGGTAAAATACAACAACAAATGTGGGAGTGGCTAGCTGCTGTGTTTGGATTCCAAAATGAACACTATCTAGAAACTCCACTTGAAATGGTGTCGTCTAAAAAATGAAACAACCAATAAAAACATCGTCTCAGGTTTATATTGGTGATATTATTATTAAAATTAACAACTTAAAACAAAAATATCGATCCCCAAAATTGAAATTCCTTAAAATAAAAGTAAATTAGATGGTCATTATTTCCAAGATTGGGAACAAAGGTTGGTTTCAGAAATAACTGTTATTTTTTCATACATTTTCAATACTGCTACAATCTGTGTAACCTTTTAAATGAGCCTTATTGCAAAGACGACACAAATATAAGATTAATAATTAATCAACAAATAAATAAAAAAATGTCAACAATAACCTTTAGTTACCCCCCGCAAGTTAATACCGTCGTTATGTGAAAAGATATGAATGCTGATATTACTACACGTGTTTCTTCAATAGCACATTTCTTTACAAACAGAAGTTTAAACTAGTGTTTTCTTCACTCCACACTTGCCCAGCCCAGGCATTATATTTATATATAAAAAAAAACGTTTTCTCATAAAACTAATATGGAAACTTTACTATGGGAAGGAGGAAAGCATGAGCCTTAGTGAGGAAGTATTATTAATACAATGATCGTATATCAAGATATATTTGTGAACAACCTGTAAACGTTCTCCACCATTCGGTCGAAATCATCTTAGTGATTGTAGTTTTAAATTAACACTGTGGAAATTTGACTTCATAATTCAATTTATGCAAAAATTAAAAATATATATATATATTAATAACCTTTGGTGTGAAATTGTGTGAAACAGTTTTACAGTTCATTACTAGGTGGCGTTTTTTCACTTAAATTAATGTAATACATTGATTATCCTCACGTTGGTGTAATCTGCATAATGTAATACATTGATTATCCTCACGTTGGTGTAATCTGCATAATGTAATACATTGATTATCCTCACGTTGGTGTAATCTGCATAATGTAATACATTGATTATCCTCACGTTGGTGTAATCTGTATAATGTAATACATTGATTATCCTCACGTTGGTGTAATCTGTATAATGTAATACATTGATTATCCTCACGTTGATGTAATCTGTATAATGTAATACATTGATTATCCTCACGTTGGTGTAATCTGTATAATATCGATTCTTGCTACGACCAGTAACTTGTAAGAAAATTTCTATACGCGTCCTCGGAGTCAACTCTGGCGCCAGTCTTCCTACAAATTGTCCAACCTTCAGACTGTTTTTACTACCATTGCTTGTCGTTGCTGATAAGTTTCCAGATTGATATTCTACTGTATGTATTTCCCTTTTATTCCAAAGTCTCGACAACGTAAAGTATGATGGTGTAAAAAACAACAACAAAATATGCATTTTTTTGGTAATGTATCCATTTATGGAAACAATTTCAAAATATCAACAATAGAAGTGGGTTAAAGCTGTAGCGCTTCAGAAGAGTGATCTCTTCTTCATCAAGATGAGGAAGGAGCCGCATTTCTGTAGAACCAGAGAACATAAACTTTAATGTAGAACCAGAGAGCATGAACTTTAATGTAAAACCAGAGCACGTGGATTATTCTATAGAACCAGAGCACGTGGATTATTCTATAGAACCAGAGCACGTGGATTATTCTATAGAACCAGAGCACGTGGATTATTCTATAGAACCAGAGCACGTGGATTATTCTATAGAACCAGAGCACGTGGAGTTTTCTATAGAACCAGAGAACGTGGAGTTTTCTATAGAACCAGAGAACGTGGAGTTTTCTATAGAACCAGAGAACGTGGAGTTTTCTATAGAACCAGAGCACGCGGAGTTTTCTATAGAACTAGAGCACGCGGAGTTTTCTATAGAACCAGAGCACGTGGATTATTCTATAGAACCAGAGCAGGCGTAATCAATCTGTCATAATCTATGTGCTATAAAATGTTTAAGTGTATCCAAACTAAATAGTTCTAACGTGGCCGTAATGGTTATTTTTTCATCTAAATCAAACGACGTAAATATTGTCCTCGTGAGGGTCGTGACCTCTTGAATTTTAGAAAACTTTCAAAGTTATGATAAAACAACTTGTAATTTCAACCTCTTCGAACGTCGGAAGATAATAGAACGATCTCTTTCTTCCTGGAACTCCTGGGCAGTGATTAGTGTAGCCCAGTTGTTCGTGGCGAATGTTGTTGACTAACTGCCTTTTATCAAGTCTGTTAGCCCAAAATTAGAGATGGCTAGCGAAGACAGCCGTTGTGTAGCTCTGCACAAACTTAAACAAACAAAAACAGTTAATCCAAATTTCTCGTAACTTGATATTCAAATCAATATTTCAGTTTCTAAAAAAAACCAATATACCGAACACGAGTGTAAATATGTTAATTTAGTTTTCGTCCATATTCTGCACGCTCTCACGCATACATGTATCAACCCTTTAGCTATTAAATTAAGTCAGTACTGGAGGTCCGTCATCTAACACCAGTTTAACACACGAATGAGCTTCTTTAACTACTTTCTCTTTGATTGATTAAGATCAAGTAATATTTATAAAGATTGATATCTAAACTGTTATTTTCGACAGGTTTTCAACCAGGTTTCTTCTTGATTAACATCCTCTGGTGGCTCAGCGATAAGTCTTAAGGCCTATAACGCTAAAACCCGGGTTTCGATACCAGTGTTTGGCAACATCCTCTAGTGGCTCAGCGATAAGTCTGAAGGCCTATAACGCTAAAACCCGGGTTTCGATACCCGTGTTTGGCAAAGCACAGATAGTCCATCATGTAGCTTTGTGCGTAGCTACAAAAGAGTCCTCAAACCGAAGTGCGAGATTAAAACTGTTATTTTGATTGATTTCTTAACTGCGTTAGTCTTCGGTTAATTAAGATTATCTAGCTTTAAAATTGAAACACGCGAAGAAATTAGCGTTGCTTTAAAGATAATCGGATAATCACTTGCCATATTCACACTTCACCGACTTAAACAGTCAAACCTTCAATATTTCACAGCAATTGTTTACCAAATTCCGTTGGTTGTTTAAGACACGTATGAATATACAGTATACTGATTTATGAAATTCAGTCTGGAACAGGAGTGTTTAAATCGCTGTCAAAATAATATATATGTACATCGTGTGCTGTCAATGGAAAACAACCAGGCACTAAAACGACTGCGCCATCTATCGTAAAGTTCAGTTGTCTTAAAATATTTTGAAAGTGGTGATGATAAATAGTGGATGGCGATTTTATCTTCGCCGACACAAAACTTTGTTAGTAAATTAACTTCATATTATGTACACGTTTCTCTTTATTTCTTATCTTTTTATTTGTCTCCAAAAGTTAATGTCTTCATTGTTTTAAAATATGATTAAAATCCTCTCGTAAAATAAGAGTATGCTTCAAAAATTACTAATTTCAAGAATCTGATGGCCGCTGCTGTGTTCTGACTCTGATTGGCTGTTGGGTTCACGTGATAAATAATGCTAGAATGAATTGTAAACAAAGTTTTCTCGTCGTTAGGCACAAAGCTATACAAAGGGTTGTTTTCGCTGAGCGGGTATCGAAATCCTATTTTTAGCATTATTAGCCTTCAGACTTACCACTGAGTCACTAGGGGGCTGGATGGAGAAGGAACAAACTTAGTTTTGTACTAACCTAGCGGACGATTAATTAACAACAACATGTAAAACAAATACACAACAACTGGTAATTAGTTAATTTGAACACGAGGCAACAATCCCAGGGGATGCGCCCATAGTGAGTGATCTCATCTGTGGGGGTCAGCTGCCTTGCAGGATGTAGAAGAGCGTTTCTTTACTGATGTTACCTTCTATCTGCATGTTCTCCTATTGATTTCACATCTTCTGCTTATCCTTGATACACCTAGCAACAGCTCGTGATTAATGTGCTAAATTTAAAGGATAGGCATGTCATATTGCACTCTTTTGAAGAAGAGTTGTCTAACTGATCAAATTGGTTGTCAAGGAAACTAAGGAAAGAATTACGTGATTTTTACCAATATTATGGATTGATAATGTAGGGTTAAACTTTATTAATTCGCTATTTCCTTCAAACGAACATCAATCTCTTTCCAGTTTGTTTTTTTTCTTCTCTCGAGAAGTTGAGCGGTCATTTTTCTGAAAAGTGAAACGTAACAAACGATGATGGAGACCAATGTTCCACATATATGAATATTTTCAAACCTAACATCTTGTTAGTTTTTCTCTCTTCAATAAATATCTCCAAAGCTCTTTTTTGTTGTTGTTGTTGTTGTTCTTCAATCGAATCTTCAAAAATATTTCTGGCCTTTTTTATGAATCGTTTAATAAACTTTCAAATTTAAATATTTGCACATGTAATAGCGTTAACCCTAAAATTAAAGTGCTTTGTTAAAAAAGTAGCGAGTTCGTTTTTGGTAGCTTTATAAGAATTTGAGTTCGTTGTTGTTTTTGTGCAAACTTTCACATCATTTTTGTGAATCAGTTAAATTAAAATTAGGGCTAAATTTGAGATGGATATATTTACATTTAAACTTCACAGTAGTCTTATGTACAAACTCCTCAGGTTTGACTAAGGAAGTTTTAAAAATCTTTATTCTGAAATTATATACGTACATATATGATGTTCTCCTAGTGAGACGATAATTAACTATTTTATATTTTATTCGTTTTAGATTTTAGACTTAAAGTAAAGTATAATTATTGATTTTTAGAATGGAAGCCATTAATACTGCTTCTTAAGGAACTATTTTATCTTTGTATTAGAAACTGATACAGACTACAGTGTATACCTCCGCCACGCAGCGTTAATCATATTCGGCAATCAAAAAAATACGAAAATGAGTTCGTCTGTCCGTCGTTATGAACGGACACGGACCATTTTTGACAGGACAATAAGAAATAATATTCCACATAAGTCCGCCAGGTTTAATCAAAATCTAATTTTTGACTGAGTTATAGAGCAAAAATAGTGTGAAAAATAAACCCCCACATCAACAGAGAAGGATTTTTTTGGAGGGGATTTTAGTGACCTTGCTGTGACCTTGACCTTTAGCCTTCACCCTCCAAAAAACTAATCACTTCTAAGTCGGGTCATAGTTTAAATATATATAGCAACATTCGTCGAAATTCATTCAGTGGTTTTCGAGAAATCTTGCTGACAAACCCACAAACAAACACAGGGTTGAAAACAGAAATCTTGCTGACAAACCCACAAACAAACACAGGGTTGAAAACAGAAATCTTGCTGAAAATAAATAATTGATATCAGTTTTTATTTATCGCTTGTATTTTAAAACCTAAACGGATTATAATATTAATCTAAGTATACGTGAACACTCTCAAGACAAAGTCACTGAGAAGAAGACGATCTGATAGCATTCACCGACTAGTTTCTCCTCCCCCTCCGGATCAATAAAACCTCTTCCAGTCTTGAAGAAAAGACATACAAGACTCTCCAGATAGTCACATTTTTTTTATTCCCCCATTATTTATTTCGTTTGAACGTAGAAACTTTTCGGCCAAGAAAGAAAATACCCGACGAATGAAAATTATTACGATTAATGTCTCCATTTAATGAGATCATAACATTTCTACCATATCAAGACTTCATAAGGATGGCAGAAATATACGTAAAAAACGACTTTCCGATCACGAACTAGCATTCGTGCTTAAGGGGCTTGCAAATCAACCACGAACAATGTGTCCCTAAAGAAAAGTATATTGTGACAGCAGACAGGGGTGCTTTAAATATGAAATATAACGCTCATTCTGGTTATGATGTCCTAATAAAACTAATGAAAGCGATGCGATACCGTTATATATTAACAAAGACATTAGGGTTAAAGCGGATATTTACCCTCTGGTTAGGTAAAAAAATAGAAAGATCATTTATTACCTTCTCTCTCTCTCTGTCTTACCTATATAGCTGCTTTCTGTTTTTAATCCTGTTTTATCTAACTCGTATAAAGGTCATGCTGATTTTTATAACTTTCGAATAGCTTAGGGATACTCCTCTATTGCTTCACAGACATACACACAAGATATGATTTTAAGTTATGTATAAATCTTAGCTATGTTAATAAATTAGATTTGTATATAAAAACCTTAAAATATCAGATAACTCAGAAATGTCCAGCTCGACTCAGGATGGTCGTTGTTGTTAAGCACAAAGTTGAATAATGGGCTATCTGCAGTCTGCCCACCACGACTATCGAATCCCGATTTTTAGACTTACCGCTGAGCCGCCAGGGGTCTTTGGAAAGAGCCTCTTGAGGTATTCACTCTTGTTAATGAGTGTTAATAACCCTAACAGTATTATATATTTTCACTGTCTCTAGTTATAAAAACTAACATGTATAAAAACAACTGTTTTGGTGTGACCGTCTATTTCAAGCTGACGAAGTGTGATTACAATAAGTTTTACTGGTCAGAAGACATTAGTATTAGGCCTATTATATTTTTAACGCTGCATTTTTCTTCTAGTTCATTAGGGATGTTCATAATTAATAGGCTTTATAATACCATTCTTCCAACCACATTATGTTTCCCATATCTATTGCCGACGACGCATCTCGCTCATTCCAGAGCTCATCGTACGTTTCAACTCCAACTACTGTGTTACGTGCTCAGATGACTTTAGGCAGAAACTACAAGTTGCATGTTTCCTAGTAGGAAAGTCATCTGAAAGTAGAGCCCAACAACTGGGGGGGGGGGGGTACACCTTCTTTCGGAATTAATCTCCACTGTAATGCAAATTATGACATTAAGAGCAAATGTGGGCATTAAATTCGTGATATTCCACACCTTAAGCTTCTATTGAAACAACCCATAGAAGGTAGCTGCTCCTAATAAAACAGGTCTGGTATCCTCGACCTTTCAGCCGTGGGGACGTTATAATGTGTCAATAAATCCCA